CATGATGTTCAGGTGTGGAGAAGATCCCATCTTGAAAAGTTGACTTTTCAATTCGTCATTTGCGATTGCTGATGTTCCACTTAGTTTCCAAACAGGCTTTCTCTCAGCTGACTCGTACTCGTTGGCAACCATACCCATAGCTCTGGCTATGATTATGTACTTCTCATAGGATAACACATCTGATGTGTTGATCACTGTCAGCAATGTCATTGTATCAGGAGTGGTGTGTTGTAGATTCATATCATAGGTGTAGGGAAGTAAACACATATGTTCTTGTAGTGGAGGAGACTGGTACACATGCTGAACTTGATCCGCAACACTCTGACCAATCGATACAACCATATCGGCAGATTGCATCACTGAATGGCTGGATGGTGTACTTTCTATGTCTTGTATGGAGTGGATGATTGGTACATACTTTGCATCTGGGAATACTTTCTCTCTGATACTCAATGCAGACTCTGCTGTTGTACAAACATGACCAAACACTATCTTAACTTTTTGTGATGCTTTAAGATTGGGAATATTTCTAACCAGTCTTGGTCTGGTTCCATTCCCTGCAATGACGCTTGTGGTGTGAGTAGATGTACTTTGTGGTTTCTGGCATCTACTATCTCATCTGCAGTTTCTTCTATCACCGTACAGATCACCCCATGCCCCTTCTTAGCTAGTAAAACCGCGTTCTCTAATTGATTTAGAGACAATGATAAACTATCTTTTGGCCACCAGTGAGATCCAACCACCAGTACAGTGTTCTCCTGCACAGTAATAAAATCAAGACCTTATAAGCATTACACATCACTAACATTCACACTTAGTTGACACTGTTAACAACAAGAATGGTAAATGTGTTGTTACATGTATACAAAACACCCAGATAAGTACATATATTAACTACACTCAAATAAATTAATATGAATGAGTGAGGCTGCTGATGATATGCGTAAATTACACAAACAATAAATACACAAACTATGATGATAAACACTTGTATTGCTTATATTAACATGAAATTGATTATTCTTAATTCATCATCTGGAATTCTAAGCAGTTTTATATCTAGATTGTACATTTGTTTTGCAACAATAATGAACATCTACATGTACATTACATTTAATAATTGTCCAAAGAAAAAAAATGTAATCTTTTTTAATAATTTTCAATTCATGTGCTTGTATCATTCTAATTACAATGATCCACATCCAGGCATTGATTGGTTCGAATTACCAAAATATTTGGTTTTGAAAAAAGACTTCCCTATACATTATACAATTACTTTGTACATGTAATATTACTTCATACAATAGACTATACCAGCAGTATACTAATATGTTTACTGAGACACAATAAAGAATAATTATAACTGACCCTCATATATGTATGCACAATGGGTATCAGTGAATTAGAATATAAACTTACCATATCTGCACCAGCTGCACGTAAAATCTCTACCACTTCTGCCTTACCCTCCTTGAGTGCAATATCAAGACACGAGGTTCCATCCTATGGATAAAACCAAATATGATATCAGTAAGCTAGAATACACCACATAATATGCAATATATATTAATATACATAATGCAATAAATATAATACATGTAATACATTTATTGCAACTTTAGAAGTACAGTTTCTATTAGTTCTTTAACACTTTATAATAAAAAAACAGATAAAATACTAAAGTAAAATTTCAGTCATTGCTTTCTCTGATTTCAAATAATTAGTATAAATATTTATCAGCTTGGCCTACTATTGAACTCAAAATATATTTAAATATCTGGACATCACTTTAGTTATTCTGGAATATTGGTATTTTTTCTATTGCTATTCATGTAGGTTCACCTTTGTTCATTTATGTGATGTCATCTTCAATTTTTCTTCTTGAAAACATGTGGGGAACACTCAGGGCTCTTCTGAAATAACAAAGCTAATTCAAACTTCAGGTCCATACTAGTATGTTTGGCCAAGATTAAAGAAATAGCTTTGACAAATTCCAGTAATCCGATTGATGAATACTTGGATATGGCTGATGCAATTTCCGATATACCGCAATGTTGGCACTATAATTTATCACCATCACGATGTGACATCCATGGTAGGCTCTTGTTTTGCATGAGTCAATTACATTTCTTGGGAAACCTAGAACTTGCAGGCATAGTACATAAAACTTTCACACAATTCCCATACAATCCCTGCCTCCTGGGACTGAACATCAGGTGCATAGATGCTATAGTAACCACAGGTTTTGCCTGGAATAAGCCTTCATTTCCCACTATAAGCAGTCTGATTGAGTGTACAAAACTTAATTTGACCACAGCCTGCATTGCTGAAAAATTATGTGTACAAGTTTAGATCACAAAATATTATAACTAAAGAATAGAGTGAACTTGAGTTTTGGTGTCAAGATTTAATTAATTGCAACAATAGTGGACGGGTTATGCAAAATTAAATTGGTATTACTAAACAGTATGCAACACAAGAAACAAGGAAATTCACACTTTTTCCATGTTCATTCAAGTTTATATTATTATTGTTTTCTTTGTTACAGGTGCCATATGCAACTTGCACAACTATTGCTACTACTTTAATGAAACCAATAACTTGTATTTATTTTGAGTTGGATCATTAAATTACCATAGACAGATATCAGTCATTTACATAAATGCATACATTACTATTAGAAGAAATAGTACTACTATGAGGTTATTACGAGAATACCACGTATGCATGAATGCAGTATGGAGATCATATCAACCAACATGTAGCAGAGGTTGCTGAGTTACCGTTCTCCCTGAAGACATACTTCACAGTATACTTGTGATATCCATATTATTATACATCCTCCTGCTTGTAATAATGAATGATGTGCACTGTGCCAACATTTGCGTTAAATATTAAGTGACAATATTCTATTCCATTATGTCTTGATAGTGTCTGAAGTGAACAAAGGAAAGTGTTTGATTGTGACATAATGTAACTCACAACTTCCAAATAAGGAAGACATTCTAACTTGCTCATAACACTTTTGAACTCGTTCGTACATTTATACAATTCACTAATTTAAAAAAAAAACATTGTTTATTGTTCATGGTCTGATAGTATCTATTTAATGCTCCTTGTTTCATGAAATATATGCATTAATTAAAAACACCAACTTGTTGAGTTGAAATAAGACTTGGCTAACATTTTTATTGTCTACTAGTAAATTAGTTTATTTAAACTTCTGTACATTTGTTCAGCAATGAGTTTAGAGATTTTTTCTATGTAACAATACTACAATGTAAATGAATACCGGTAATATATTTTCCGAAGATCAAAAATATTCTGAAATTAGTTTTGACAGTGTTCAATTATGATGCAAAGGAAATCTCGAATCAATTCAAGCCTCCTTCTCTTCTTCTTTTCCCCAGACCCCACCCTTGGGTAACTTTAACCAGTACTTAAACTAATTAACTAAATCTAGGTAAACTTTATATTTGCATTCTGGGATGATGGTGGTGTGAGCGATTTATAAATTCCACCCTAAGTCTTGAGGAATACTGTGAGCTTTTTACAGCATTGGCAGTGCTGAGGACTTGATGTTGCAGAAATGACCGGATTAGATAGACAATTTGGCACGAACATGTTTAAAGAATTACTTGACGAATATGGCGGAAATATTATGGCTGAGCACTATGAAAGAATGTTACAGTAATACATTGAACTAACCCAGATGTGATGTAATTAATGAAACAAAAAGGGCGCTGTTGACATGACCACCAATAACGATTGGGTGAGAATGCAGTTCTTGAAGTACATGTACGTACTATGGTTTGTCATAATGTATTCAGTAGAACAAAAATGTGCAATCAACAAAATCAAACCATCCTGGGCGAATTAAAAAAGTAAGACCAAACTGGCTTTTCTTCATATCATCAAAGGAGATATGTAAATGTGTCGAAATGGGCGTAGTGCGAGTGGTTAGTGCTAGTAGCACTAATCCGAATGGCACTAGATCTAGCGCTAAAATGGCACTAGATCTAGTGCTAAAATGTACATAGTGCGAGTGGCATTGATATCGCATTGTCAACGACGTCGAGACATCCC